GAACCCCCCTACCCCCCTCATAATACCGCACTGCTTTCTGGACCGTGTCCAGGCCTCAGGCTCCTCGCTGATATCCAACTTTTATGGAGAGAGAAAGAGGAACATACAAAAAGCTTTAAAAACCACAATGACTGATGTATGCTCGTAATATCTGCTGATGTCGTCATTGTGCTTCATATGCCGGGCACAAAGTAAGCTTTCAAGGCAAGGTTAGTGGTTCAAATCAGGGGGCTATGGTTAGGGGTTCAAGCTTGAGTTAGGGCATTAAGTTGGCCTTTCAAATGAAAGTTTCAAGCAGGGGTCGCCAGCTCCAGTCCTCAAGGGCCTCCATGATTTTCGATGTTTCCTTCCTCCAACACACCTGATGGGGGCATCAAGGACCGGAGTTGGTGACACCTGCACAAAAGACTAGCTCAAGTTAGGATTTTGAGATATAGGATTCAAGCAGTTTTAAAATCAGGGCTTCAAGATTTGGTCACTGTACCAAATAAACGCCTGAGCTTCAAATCTCAAACTGTGGGAATGGCATCCAAAAACGAACTTGGATGCGGACCAGCGTCGGCAGTTGAACTTGACTAAGTCCTGGTGGCGCTGTTGCACCCGGCGGATTAGTCCGGGCTGGTGCCAGTCTCCATCCCTGCGCCACCCCTCATCCCTTGGCACCGAGAGGAGCGCGTTGGGGCCCCGGCACGTGCCCGCCCCCCCTTTGGTTGGCACACTAAGGTGAACTAGAGTCTGATTGATGGGCACGCCTTCAGCCCTCCGTAGGCCTCCCAGTCCCCTTGTGTTGGCACCAGTACTCGTCGCCATGTCTTTCCTGTGCCAATTGCAGCTCTGTTGGGGCACATCAATTACAAAAGAGAGCCTCCTTTTCCCCCTGGTGGCTGTTGACTGCAAGCACGGGGGTCCTCTCGGCCGAGGTGTGTGAAGATGGCTTCACGAAATGCCCATTGGCTCACAGGTTCCGTTAGGGTTGCAAATTAGGGTTTCAAGGCTGGGTTGGGGTTTCTAGACTGGATTTCAAGCAAATCTTGCATATTGGTTTCTGGTATTGGCAACCTTTACGAGTACCCGATGCCTTGAAATAAGACAGGTATGGCCTGATGCCACGTGCCTATTTCTCGTGTCAAAGCATGGTTTCAAATGGGGTTTTACAGCAGGGGTTTGGGTTTCAAGGTAGGGTTGGTTTCAAATAAGCTTGTGCTTACTGTTGGCACGGTGCGTCGTCTGACGGGCAGGTCCTAATGGGTGGTGGCAAAAGCGTCCCCGGAGAGTCGTGAGCACATCGGCTGGCACAGGCTCAGCTGCTCAACTGGGCTCAGGTGCGCCCCTTCCCACGTCGTCTCATCCACTTGCTTAATTACCTCCCTGGCAAAAAAAAAGTCATTGTAAAAAGGCGGCACTCATCACCACGGGTCGATGAACGAGATGCTTCAGGGGTCACGCTGGAGGGAAACCCGCACCAAACATGGACGGCTGGTTTCTGGCAATCGGGCGCCACCTGGAGCACGTTTCCACTTTAAATTTGAGTGACGTTTGGCGCTAGGGATTAAAAGGAGCAGGAACAGTCTGTAGCCGCCCTTCCATTTTTTGCTCCAGGAAATTTGTTTTGGTGAACTAAAATCATATTTTACTGGAACTAAAAGTTTTAGTTTTCATTTTTTAGTTGCATTTAATTCCCAAATAATTTTGGTTAGGGACTAAAGATTGCAAAAACAATTTATATGCATTACCACTGAAAGGCCTACAACATTTTTTCATCTACATGGGATAACCAATATTAGTGTGCATCCCAAAAAGCGTTGACGTACGTCAATGTCGTTTGCGCGTTTGGTATGAGCATTACGGTAAAGTACGGAAGCCGGCACAGGTCCTGAAGCTGTTGGGGGGAGGAGGCGGGGTCAGCGATGAATTGCGAATTGGACACAATGGCGGCGGTGCCTGCAGTACTGATGCAGCGCAGTCCTGCCACGGAACTTTCGGTCCCGGTTCCGCCGGCAGCGGCTCAGCCTCACGGGGAGCGGGTGAAAACTGAAGAGGTGACCGGTGAGCGTGATTTACTGTCGGCCCCCCCTACCCTCTGCCATGCCCCCTTGGTTAGTCTGGCTAAGATCGCAAGCTAAGGCTAACATGAAGTTAGCACACGATTTAGCCTCAGGAAAGTACAGTGTTTGTATTCATTTTTTATTCGTGTGCGGTGAGGTCGAAGCAATACAGTAACTACATATACAGTCTTTTTCCTACACGGACACTCTCCAACCGAGGTCGGTTGGATAATATGCTTCTATGTTTTGGTTGTAATGTTGTAATACTGTACATAGTCATCGGCTTCCAAAACTTGCAGTTCATAAAGGGAGTTATCCAAATGTGCATGTGTTGCGTTAATAAAGCATTTCATGAATTGATTTTATGAGCGTGTGACTTGTTTCGTGTTGCAGTCATGTACAGTTAGTCCAGGATAAAAATGGAGATGCTACATAATTTAAATCATGTGGTTAATATAGTGCTGTGCAATAAGGTCTTTCAATTGCGAAACTGAACGCAATTAATTAAAATGACGACCCTACTTGTTACATTTTAATATTCTGAATTTGTCTGTTGACAGCTCTTTTCCTATATAGACATGTACAGGTGAGGGAAGCCAGCCAATCGAAATATGAAAATTGTTCAGTTTGATTGCGCTAACATGGACAAATTGCCCGTCCAAAAGTTAAAGCGTCGCGTTTGTTTTCCAGAATCGGAGAAGCAGAGTCGCATGGTTGCTTTGCTGGAGAGGCTTCATGCCAAACACAACGCGGCCCGCCCGTGGCAGGAGACCAGCAAGGTGGTGCGTCAAGCCATGGTGAGACACACTCATCACATTATTATTAGTATTCTTCACTTACAAGTACCTCAACTTGTGAGTTTTTTTTTTTAACTGAGCAGCAGTTTGCCCCACAAGTTTGCAGGAACTGCATTTTCGACAAAAACATGTGTACGACCTTGTCTTGTTTGCTCTGTAGGAGAAACGCGGGATGATGAACGCCGCCAGTCACCAGCTGCTGCTCACCTGTTTGGAAACCCTTCAGAGGGCACTCAAAGGTGAGACTGACACCTTTTCAAAGCAGCTTTGAAAACCAGAACGGTCTGTAGTCGCATTTCCACTTTCGGTTTTGGTTTTGGCTCAATTTTGGGTAATAAAAATTTCCTGAACAATCTGTAGCCATATTTCCACTAAGGCTCCAATAACATTTGCTTCTGGGGACTAAAAAAATTCCGGTACTTTTGCCTGGTTGGGCCTCAGGGCCAACAATATTAACTGATTCTCTTTCCCTCTGTTTTTCAGTTTCATCTTTGCCTTCCATGACAGATCGTCTCGAGTCCATAGCGAGACAAAACATGTGAGTGTTCACACTTCCCGTGAAGATACAGGAAATGTATTTCAATGGTTTGTGCTCTTTACTTTGCCAGGCTGGGCTCCCATCTGAGCCCGTCTGGAACTGAGTGCTACATCACTTCGGATATGTTTTATGTGGAGGTGCAACTGGACGGCGCTGGTCAGCTTGTGGACGTCAAAGTTGCTCATCAGGGCGAAAACCCCACGGTAAGGCTGATCCCAGCACCTAAACATTCTTGAAGATGCTGTCAGATCAAAATGAACGTTTTTGTTTTTCAACAGAGTTGCCCTGAGTTGATTCAACATCTAAGGTGAGCTTATAATTTGCCACTGTTATCATTGAATGAATATGCTGATTTCGTCCATGTTTTTTCGAACAAGGGAGAAGAACTTTGAGGAGTTTTCCAAGCATCTTAAGGGACTGGTTGACCTGTATAAACTGCCTGGAGACAAGTGCGTTTTGAAATGTCTCTTTATTTATTTATTTTTTTAACTCCTCCCAGTGTCGTCATCCATATTGATTATCATTTGTTTTTTTTTTTTGCCTTGCAGTAAACTGAAAACAAAGATGTATATTGCCTTGCAGTCCCTGGAGTTGGATCTCACCAAGATGATGCACATGTTTCGGTCAGTTTTCCTGCCTCAATTGCATAGCTAAGCGAAAGGGTTGGAGTTGTTTGAGAAGTGGTGCATACCTCATGGCACCACTGTAATTCAAATCAACTTTTGCTTTTTGTTTTATTTTCAGCTTGTAGGATTTGCTTTATTTCCAGCTTATTTGCAAGTGTTTTTTCCCCCCTTGAGTTTTAATGAGCACCGAATTCCACAGACTAAAAATAAAAAGTTTATTCTTTGATGCATTTTCCCTTCCTATTACTGTAACTTTTGCTTCTCAGTACTAAGCGTCTCCTCAAACTGTGATAAAATTGATGGATCAACCAGTTGCGACTTACTCGTCGAATTATTTCATTTTTTTAAAAATTGCTCTCACCCCCCCTGTCCGCCCGTAGGCTGGCAACCAACGCCAACGCCGTCGAGACGATCCTGCACGGCAACGTGGGCCTGCTGACAGCCAGGAGCGGCGGCCATCTTGTCACCCTCCAGTGCTACGTGTCGCCGTATGACATTTTCGAGGAGGGAATGGGCGTGCACGTCAACCTGACAGACGGCAACGGTAAAAGCCACTGGAGGATATTTGCAGTCAGCTGCTTTTGAGCTTCACTTGGTATTTTTTAACAAATGAAAAACTGACTGCGTACAACAGTCGCACGCTCGCTGGGCGTGAGCGTTTCCGTCACCATCGAGGGTACGGCCAACACCTACAAGCTCCCCATTGCGCCGCTCATCACTGGATCGCACCCCGTGGACAACAAGGGGTAAAGGATATACCGTTACAAAATAGAATTGATTTTAATTTCAATGAGTGGCATGTACCAGTGGTTCATTTTGGATTTGTTTCAGAACACCTTCTTTTTCCACGGTGACCAACTCCAACTGCGTGGACCTGCCAGCTTGTTTTTTCCTCAAGATGAATCGGCCCATGCCGTTCTCCCAGTCCTTCATTCACAGACTGGGCAACGCTACAGGTGAATTGTTGAGAAATTATGCCGTTGTTTCTGAGGCAACTCAAGCACAAAATCGTTGTTTCATGGACAATTGGATTAATTGTGTGTTTTACAGCTATCCCTGTGTTTGAAAGCACCCCAAGCTTGTCTGCTCTCTACCAGCTCATTGTCCAGAGTCAACTTCAGTCCCCGGAGGAGGGGGCGGCCACCCTGCCGCCCTCACACAACATGCACTTCTACTCGGTATGCGGTTCTAGTATGCATCCAGACACATTGTCGGACGTAAGGCTGGGCAATTTTTCAACTTGAATTGAATCACCGGAAGGGGAGGGGAAATCGATTTGAATCAGACATAGGAAAAAAAAAAACTCTCAATTTTCTCTGCGCTCTAACAGGTGCTGCCAGACCAGCAGCACTGCTACTTCCTGAACGGTGACGCCCCGGTGCAGGACGGTCATTCCCTGCAAGGTGCCCTGGTGAGCAAGATCCCCTTTCGCCACCCGGCTCAGGTGCCCCTGCTGCTGGACATCATTCGGCACCAGGCAGCCTACAACACCTTGATTGGTAGCTGTGTGAAGCGGACGTACATCAAAGAAGGTAGCCGGCATTTTTTGTGGAGGGGGTTGTGTAATTTTAACCAGAATCGGTCGGCCAGTAATGCCGATTCGTTCGCTTGTATTTTTAATTCGGCCTTCAGACAGCATCGGCCTGCTGCAGTTTGAGGTCTGCCCCCTGACCGACTCGAGCTTCAGCGTCTCGTTCCAGCATCCCGTCAATGAATCGTTAGTCTGCGGTAAGCTCTCGCTCCCACACAATTTAACAGAAGCCCTGCATACTGATCTTGAAGCTGCTACTTCCTCTTGCTCATATCTCCCCTTGAGTTGAGCATTGCACTTCCTGTTATCTCATAAAAAAAGATCATTGAGCAGGCCACACCTACCGACAGCAGTCTTCACTATGTTTCAATGCATCTTTTTTTTTTTTTTCCAGTTGTGATGGACGTGCTGGACTCCAGACAGGTGTCCTGCAAACTATATAAAGGACTGTCTGACGCGCTGATCTGCACCGATGACTTCATTACCAAAGTGGTCCAGAGGTAAGGGTATTTGATACATTTAAAAAAAGCCTGTTTTTGGTAGCATTGTCAATGTTTTACTTCAGGAATGGGCAAGCATTTGCATTATTACAAGTCTTGTAGTCTTTGTATTCATTTAAATCATTTTTCCTGATAATTTCATAATGCAAATGTTCGTATTTTTAAATTAATTTATCTCATTTAATAATTGAGTCAATATATTGTACTGCACATCATACAATATTTGTAAAATAAACTATTGGATATATTTGTTTCACTTAATAACTGGTTCAATAAAATTCCATGAATTATAAATACACCTCATCTTCGAATGAACCGGCCTCTCTGTTCTTCCTCTTGTCTCAGGTGCATGTCCATTCCTGTGACAATGCGGGCCATCCGGAGGAAAGCAGAGACCATCCAGGCAGATACTCCGGCCCTGTCTTTGATTGCGCAGACGGTGGAGACCATGGTGAAAAATAATCCACCGCCCTCCGGCAGTCCCGCCTACAACATGGCAGGCGGAGATGCGACAAATCCGATGGGGCTCTTGGGACTCACTGGCGGCAGCACCCCCACTGGAGGAGGACCGCCCGGCGGGCCTAATTTTACCGGGTCGATCACTTCACTGTTCGGGATGTCTCGCAACGAAAAACAAGTAGCTGAGTGCCAAACTCAAGCCGGCCAACAACAGCAGGTCCAACAACAGCAGCAGCAGCAACAGCAGCAGCAGCAGCAGCAGCAGGGTCAAGGCCATGCGGACGACTACAGCAAAGTGACGCAGAATCCAATCCTGACGAGCCTTCTGCAGATAACGGGAAGCGTCGGTTCAAGTCCCAGCTCGCAGAACGCGCCGCCGCCTCACCAGACTCCGCCGCCGACGTCATCGCCTGCTAGTAACACCAAGAATCATCCCATGCTTATGAACTTGTTGAAAGACAACCCTTCGCAAGACTTTGCCGCCCTGTACGGTTCCAGTCCGCTCGAGCGACAGAATTCATCCTCCGGATCACCTCGTACCGATAGCATGGGGGCCACTTGCCCCGGAGGAGTTGCTAAAGGCAAGAAAAAGCGGCCACGAATCCCAGAAAAGGGGGGCTTGTTGCCCGGGACGCCTGGTGCAGGAGGAGTGGCCGTAGGTGGTTTGGGCATGAAATCTCAACAGGCGACTTCCATGTCGCACCATCAGCACCACGCAGTCTCGCATGAGGACGATTTCCACCGCGAGCTTCTCTCAATGGACGTCGATGCGTCTCAGAATTCCATCTTTGACGTGAATCTGCCGGGCGACGGCTTGGACACCCCCCACAGCATCACTCCGGCCCCGAGCCAATGCGGAACCCCGCCCTCTGGCCCCAGCATGCCTTATCCGCCAACTCACATCCAGGCCCAGCCCCCGGCGGGCGCCGTACCGCCCCGCATGGTGCGCCTTTCTAGTTCTGACAGCATCGGACCGGATATCACGGAAATTCTGTCAGATTTGCCCGAGCAAACCGGAAAAGCCGGCAGTGGAGGCCAGCATCCGATGGGTGGGGGTGGTGACGACGCCGGCCCGCTGGGGACCCCTATTCGGGATTCCTCCAGCTCAGGACAGGGCAGCGCTGTGTTTGACTCTGCAGACATTTTCAACACCAACAGCAATGAGAACCCTTTCACCGACGCTGCCGACTTGATTGCCGAGGCTGCGGCCACACCCACCAGTGATTCATCCTCTACAAACTTCTTCACAGATGCGACTGACTTCAACCCCGACCTGCTGAACTCGGGCCACGGCATCTCCCAGAACTGCTTTGAAGACAGTTCACCGAGCGCTGACGGAGACATGGATCTGGTCAAGGGTTTTGGCGGGAGCAGTCAGCAGAATACTCCGTCAGGTACGCCCCAGAATCCCACACCGCACAGGCAAAACACCCCGGAGCCCTCGCTGAAAGACTCCTTTGATATGGGAATGTTTTTCGGAGGCAACAGCGGCACTGGCAAACCGCTTCTTGGGCAAGCTCCGGATTTGGGAGACACTCATTTTGGAGGCTCACAGAGCCCCCTCATGATCGGGTTGGGGCCGGCATGCGTTGATTTCAAAAGCGCAGAGTCCAAAGTCAAACAACAGAGCCTCATGCGGCAAAAGGATGACAATGGCGGCAGTGGAAATAGTGGCTCGGGAATGGGAAGCCTGTCCACCGAGGGCAAACAGGTGAAACGTAGCAGGACTCCCTCCAGTGAGGGCAAATCCAAAGAGAAGCAGCCCAAACGAAAAAAGCTGGACCCAGATGGGAAGTCGCCCTCTCACAGTTCAGGCGGACGGCCGTACACACCTCCCAGTGGCGGCTCGGGCTCCGGGGGGAGCTTGAGCGGAGGAGGCTCCAAATCTCCGGGAAGTTCAGGATGCTCACAGACACCACCTGGTGGCGCCACGCCTCCCATTCCCAAGATTACCATTCAGATCCCTAAAGGCACGATAACCGGTGGGAAAACCTCCTCCCATAGCGGCTACACGTCCAGCAGCTCAGCCTCGAGCGGGACGGGCGGAACCGGGGGCGCTGGCGGCAGCAAAAGCCATCATTCCCATTCTTCTTCTGGGAAGATCAAATCCAAGGAAGGCTCCATGGCGCAAGGCAACAGCTCGAAGTCAGCAAGCGGTACGGGGATCAGCACTGGACCCTCCCACTCTAAGGCTTCTTCTCAGGGGGTGGGTGTTGCCAAACCGGGGTCGTCTCCAATCACAAAACATGGACTCTCTGGTGCTGGAAGCAGTGGAAGTGGACTTGGCACTGGTAACAAGATAAAAACTCAAGGCGGTAAGCCTCCCGGATCGCTTATGAATCCCAGCATCAAGCCCAACATCTCACCTTCTCACTCTCGCTCCAGCACCTCTGGTGAAAAGCTGTCTTCGCCCATGAAAATACAGCAGTCCCAGGTACCGGGAACTCCGCCTTCCTCAAAGGCCAAATCCCCGATGGGCTCAGGAGGTGGCAGCTCCGGAGGGTCCAAGTCTTCCTCCGGGGGAGGTCTGAGCTCCCAGAAGCCGATGAGCGGGACCCCCTCGACTTCCACATCCTCGTCCTCCAGCTCCTCTACTTCTTCCGCTTCCATGGGATTTTCTGGGGGCTCTCAGTATAGTGGAGGGAGCGGTGGAAGTGGCGGCGGTGGGAGTAGTGGAGGTGGGGGTGGCGGCAGTGGGGGAGCCGGCCAGAACAATGCCAACAACCCAAACGCCAAAGGAAAGTCCCCCAGTCGAAACAAGAAACCGTCCCTCACGGCGGTTATTGACAAATTGAAAAGCGTGGGCGGCGTGGGTGAGGACGGTTCTGAAGTTGGACCGCCCGGGGGCCCGCAGGGTCCCGGGGCCCCGGCCGGCAACGTTCCTGTCAATGCCCCGCCTTCAAGCATGGTTACCACCAAGCACGCCGCATCCTCCCAAAGCGGGGACTACAAGCGTGAGAGGTCTGATAAAGAAGGAAAGGCAAAAGTGTCCGTTTCAGCGGGGGCGAGTGGGGATAAAAAGCTGATGGACCCCAAATCAGGAGGGGTGAGCGGGTCCGGTTTAGCCAAGATCATCATCAGCAAGCCTGATGGAGGCTCACCCAGCATCAAGGCTAAAGTCACCCTGCAGAAAGGCGGCGAAGGCCCCGGCGACTCCATGAGGCCGCAGATCAGCAGCCTGAAGGCCTCACCCCTGTTCAGCGGCTCCACACCCAAGCACGACCGCTCATCCCCGAGCCACAGCCGCTCGCCTGGCCACACGCCACTCAACCACGACAGCGAGAGCGAGTCGGGCAGCAGCTCCGTGGCCGAGAAATCCCACCAGAACAGCCCGAGCTCTGACGACGACCAGACGCCGCGACAGCTTCCTGCCCAACAGGACTATATGAGCGCTGTCCCGCTGGGCTCCGGCGAGAAGCACAAGAAGCATAAAAAGGAGAAGAAGAAGCGGGAGCGCGAGAGGGAACGGGAGAAAGAGAAGAAGAAGTCCATGTCAGGCGGACCGTCGTCGCACCCGATGAAGGCGGACAGCTGGTCCCGTTCGCCCATCTCGGCCTCGGAGTCCTCCTTGTCCATGCTTGCCTCTGAGCGGCCTTCGCGGTCCAGTCCCATGTACATGAGGAACGAAGATGACGACCTCATGGACTCGGCGCTCACTGGCAACCTTTAATGTCACTGTTTGTAAATATTTAATTTTTATTATTCACGAAAAGAAATACACAAAGGTCACTATTTTGGGATAAACAGTACAAGACGCAATGTGTAATTTCATTTAGGAGGTTTCCATATTATGTACTTTTATTATTCACTCTTTTAACCCCATAGAACTTTATTTATTCATATTCGGACCCTGAGTTGATCCCTTCATCTTTTAGTCTGATGTTAAGTAGAAGAAAAACACCAGTCACTATTTTGGGAAGTTTGTACATATTTCCGCAGACCAGGATAGCTGCAGCTGTTTTGGTTAGCAATCTAGTTTGAACAGACTCTCTGGTTGACTCTTTAATGAGGAATGGTGTCATTTTCTGAGAAATTGACATTTGTCTCACTATACCTTTTTGTGTTCAAGCTGACTGTAGATTTTAATAAGACAGGATGGGGATGCGGTCCTGATTTCTACATGTTCAATAAATATTTGAACTTGTGAAAATGTCTTAACTACCTCTCTTTGTGTTTATTGACAGCAGCAGCAAAATCAAGGAGAGCTGTTTTTGAGAAAAGCACTTTTCACTCTACTTTGGCTCTGCCACTAGAGGGCGGCATTGTATCTGAGGCTAACAGAGGACCTTCCGGTTCACATTTTCCGTATGGGCGTTCCGCGGGAATTTTTGACCAATCGTAAACGAGGTAGGCCCTGCGTCACGAGGAAATCAAACGTCACAGAGCGCGCTTGGAGTAGTTTTCAGTCGAAGAGTGGAGCGGCAAAGTGGTCCATCTGTGTGTGAGAAAGAAGCCACCCGGCGTCCACGCTAAGTTCCCGGCTCTCGAATTGGACTTCAAACGCGTAAGCAGGCACATTATATTCACACTTTGTCATTCAAGTCAACAACTGTGACACTTTTGACGGGATATGTCGTTCGAATGAGGAGCTTGGGCCGAGGGAAAGGCGCCAAACTTGGACGACTCCTAGCCATGTCCAGGTCATCTCTCGCCTCATTTTTTCGCCAATCTTCTCTCCCGATCGACTAAGAACGACTGAGGGTTTTAAATTCCAGTCATCATGACGGAAATAAGCGAGAAGGAGAATGAGCCACAGCGGCGGGACCTCCAGAGAGCACCGGCTACTGTGCCCAGCCAAGCACAGTCCAAGGTACCCCCCCCCCCCCTTGCCTATTTGTTTCTGTTGGGGCTTATGGGCATCTGTTCCTAATTAGGTGTCCAGTGAACTTTACGTTGTCAAGAATGAATATTGCGTTCATCTAGGCGGTTTTAACCGATTTTCCATCCCAAAATTATGTTTCAATGGTTAGTTAAGTATTGTAAAGCAGCGGTCCCCGGGTCGCGGACCGGTACCGGTCAGTTGGTATCGGGCGGCACAGAAAAAATAAATAACTTACATTATTTCTGTTGTATTTATTTGCTGAGTGCCTATGCTCAACATTTTGAAGCTCGAAACAAAGCAAAAAAATAAATAAATAAATGCACATTTACACGGTCTTGCGGCTGATCTTGAAAATGTTCAGGCAGGTGCTTCATTTTTTTAAATTTAATCAGCATTGATTGTAGACTCTGTATTTATTATATACTTTGGGTATTTAAGAAATATATAGTGAGCGGGGTTGGTTTTTTTTTTCAATATACTCTCTTGTTAACATTAACAATGACATGCTTTTATCCTTTTGATACCTAAAGTGTGTGATTGTGTGCGGTATCTCGACAACGAGGCCGACGGCCTTCAACAAGTCATTGTCAAAGAAACACTTGCAACAAATCACAATGATCCTGGCGGGTGACCTTGTTGTTTTGTGCTTGCCTCGAGACAACACATTGTGCGTAGGGTGGCCGTTGAATTTATGGTTCAATCCCAGAGCAGAAGTTTTCTGTGTCTGGCCTGAGCTCGTAATTCACAACAAACGAGCCAACTGGACGTGTTTTCCGAAACCTCTGCATCATGCTAACGCTACTCAGTCACTGTAGCGATAATATATAAAAGCTCGAGATAATGCCGATGTGATTTGAAACAAAATCTGCCTTTTGATACAATTATAAAAAAATCCATTTGGTTCAGTGCACTTTTGTATGGACTGCTATCAAATTCTTGCAAGAACAATACTGCTGCTATTTTAGTTAGAATACTAGAAAGCGACCTACAGTAGAAATAATGCCCCTCCCAAAATCTAGCATCCACCTTGTTTTTATTCTTGTACTCTTTTGCGACAAGATCCTTCCCTGTTCTTCAGCCTGTTTGAGGGGGGGAAAAAATGAGCACAGAGACTGGTCTTTGCCCGAGGCTTCTATAAATAGGCTGTTGTGAAGAATTCTGGGATAAATTAATGATTGAGTAGTGGGTGTGTGCGAGTACTCTCGTGGGAAGGCAAAGGGGGGGAAAAAAAGGTGAGCCGCTATCACAGCAATGGAAATTTTTCTCATGGGTCCCTTGCAATAGCCTGCAGATACAGTAACTATAATTTTTTATTTTTATTTTAATGAACATCTACATCACGATTGGGAATGTACGTCATCAACCTCCCCTTGGTGATCACTTTCCGATCAGGTGTGCACAAAGCACAAATTGCCTGCTGTTGCTCTAGTCCACTTTGCTCATTCATTCTGCTCTGTGTTTGCATGCGAGTAGGTGGGATGTTGCGTCACAGCAGGGTCTTTGTAATCTGCCACGCATAGTTTCATGCCAGGTCCACTCTCGTCGGTTCACACCGTGCAAAGTGATTAGTCTCGTGTTAAATCAAAGGTGACCTCATTAGGCGTGCCTCCAACCAGCCACCAGGGTCCGGATAGGCGCGCAAACGACATTCTTTGCAAACCGCGGAGCTTTTGCATGGGGATGCATGAAAAATTACCTCATGAACACTTAATTTAAACTGCATGGTACAATCAAGGAAATTAACACACACATTTTTTTTTCTTTCCGATTTTGTGGATTTCCAAACAAGTGAATATAATGTCGCTTCATTCGGTACCACCTCTACTTGAGCACTTTCCATTTTATGAGCTAATGCAGTCAACAGCGACAAGTAGCCTCCTGCTCGCTCGCACAAATAAGCTGACTGCAGCTGATCAAGCGGCAGCAGTGGCCCGAGTGCAGCAAGAAGGCTTGCTCACGTGGCAGCTTTTGTGACTGCTTCCTTGCTCTTTTGCTCTCTTATCCTCTTGAGGAGTTTCAGAGACTTCAAATTCAAGCGCTGCACTTTCCGCGAACTCCCTCGATGTGACATGTGCAGCGGCTGTTTTGTTCTTCAAAAAAAATAAAATAAAAATAGGGTTATTAAAAAAAAATAAACGCCAGCATGAGCAAAGCACTTTTTTCCGCTGAGGATAAGAGCATAACTTAAGATTTGATTGGTTGCTTAGTTTTGCATTCAGGAGTAGGTTTTGTGCCATTCATTGTTTTTATAAGAACAAGAAAGCATGTTGTCTTTTTTTTTCACGCGATGGCAGCAGCAAAAACTGGGTCAACCGAGGCAGCTCGTCATCGCTCACACTAATTGCCGTCTGCACGCCGAGAAAAGGAAGAAGAGCCGCTGTGTCCCGAGATATCGATTGGACTTTTTACACAACGCTGCGCAATGCTCAGTGTTTCATTAAATGCCACAAAACAACCAACATTGGGTAAATGAGCCACATGCTGCTTGACCTCGAGATTATCTCATCATATGCGGCAGATAGTCGCTGGTAAAATTCCATGCCAGGATTTTAAACTTGAAATAGTTGGTTGGAGCAAATGCAAATACATTCTTGAGCGCTCGAGCCACATGCTGCTTCACCAAGACAGCTAAATAAGTGTTCACCTCGTCAGCGCCCTTTTCTGTGGCCGTGACAAGATGAAAAGAGGCAGTGTTGCGGATAAACGCGCTGCGTCCGGTGCCAAGACGGGCGGGCCCGCTCAATGAACCCAATCAAAAGTGCATTTTTAAAAGGCCTATCGATTGGTGTCCGCTCGCAAGGGGTGGCAAATTTGTGAAGTCAGGAAGTCGGGAGGCGGGGGAGGCCGGGCAAGGGTGATGGAGATGGAAGGAGAGAAAAAAAGCCTGACTGAGAGCGAACACTCTTTGAAAATGGGGCTTTTGAGGCAAATGTCCTCATGTCCTTGATCCCCTCCATCCCGTCCTTGTCTTGTTCTTTCGTTCAAATGCACTCATGCGTGTCGTTATGTCGACCGTTGTCATAAAAACGATTTAGTGAAGCAGCACGTGGCTCATTAGTCAGCATTTATCTCCGGGCTGGATTGCAGTGCTTGAATTAAATGGCCCTCACCAGACTTGGCTTTCAAGCATTAGTGTTAGGTGTTGTTGAAACCTTCCAGCTTTTGAGTTAGTCTGCAACCCATCGAGGCAGTTAACTAGTCAAGCCTGAATTGCAGGACTTGTAAATAGTTCGACACCAAACCGAGCGTTGTAGCATTAGCATTCGATATTCTTTAATTGGTCATGTATTTCAGTTTTGATTTCACCTGCCACCCATCGAGGCGAGAAACTCATCCAGTTTGATTTGCGGAACTGAATCGCCCCACTCCTAACTTTGCTTTCCAGCATTAGCACCACATATTGTTTGATCAGCAATGTTCTTCCGATATCTTCTGCAACCCATTTAGGCAATAAATTGCCATCTCTTACTTGTCACGTTCCTTTCAGCTGCAGCGTCTGAAGCGCTCGCTGTCCTTCAAGTCTGTGATGCGCAGCAAAAGCGTGGACAACTTCTTCCAGCGCAGCAATGGCGACTCGCGACCACCCTGCACGCTCATCATCGCTCCCTCGCCTTCGCCGCCGCCCGCCTTGTCCGAGTCACCCCTGGCCTACGAGCGGTCGCCGGCTCTCTCGCCGGCCGTCAGCCCGAACCCGTCACTGTCCGAGTCGTCGCGCTCGCCCTCCGTCAGTCCCTCGCTGTCTCTGAGCGCCAAAGTTCAGCTCAAGTCTCCGGCCCCGTCCGCAGCGCCTCTCAAGACTCACAGTTTCCACGAGCACGTCTTCCGCAGGCCGACCAGCTGCGAGCGGTGCAAACATGTGATCCAAGGTGATGGCCACTTCTATACAACATTTCTTGCTCCCATTTTCGGTAGCTCACGATTCAGGGATGATTTGCTGTACTTGTGAATGGTTCGACACCAGATGTCCTTTTTTTTTTTTCTTTTCCTCCTTCATTTGTGCTTTGTTGTCAGTCCACAAATCTCACTGTGTTGACACTGCGTCTTGACAAGCAGCACTGATTCATTTGACTCCAGTGCCATCATCTGCATTCTTTCAGGCCCATCGCGTCAGTCTATCGGTGTGATTTCTGGTAATGTAATTGAATAAGCGATGTGGATGTCCACGCAGGCAACTCCAAGCAAGGCCTGCGTTGCAAAGCCTGCAAACTAGCGGCTCACCTGTGGTGCTCGTCGGAGCTGTCTCAGCAGCCCTGCAATGGCAAGGTAGGGAAGCGATGAAAAATCGACTTTGTGTTTTCTTTTCCTCTGCAACCCATTCACAAATCCGTTCGGAATTGCAGCCGGTATGAATGCTTTCACACCAAACTTTGTGTTCCAGCATAAGCTTTGCATGTTTCGGAAATTGCTAGGGAACATACATGTGTGTTTTTGACTTCCTCTGCGACCCGTCTAACCAGAAAACTAGTAAGGCCTAAATTTTAATTCTTGTTTTCACACCAATCTTTATGTTGTAGCAGTAGCGTAAAATACTGGTCGAGCCCGAATTGCAGTGCTTGTGACTGGTTCAACGTAAACTTCCAATTCTAACATGAACACAGGAATATTTCCTTCTTGCTTTGAATTCCTCTGCAATGGATTCAGGCAGTTCTCCTCTTCGGTTGCGGTAACAGTAATCCGCCTGGCAGTGGATACATATTTTCGCACGGTTAATCGCGGCAGCCTGCGCGCTGACTCGTGGAACGCCACAGCAGCATCTGGATGCCTTAATGGTTTCTCAAGTTGTTGGCCTTGGAGTCTGGCTAATGGGCTTAGCCTGACAAGAGGGGGGGGATTGTCCTGTACAAAGAGGATCAGTGAGTCCCCTTTCAGTGCAAATATAAGCTGCCCCGCAAAGACGATTAAGACACTGACCAGCGTGTGAAACGTCGGCAAAGGTAAAAAAAAAACAAACTATAAATGAGTTCACCTTAAATTGTTCGACATCGAGCGGCTTTTCTCACCCTTCCTTTCCCGTCTTCTCACGACGCTACAGCCCATCGCTTCCCCGCCACGAAATCAATATCTGCCCCCATCCAGCTGGCCCGGCTTAATTCAGTGTGAAATTCGGCGCCTTTGAGGGCGCGGAAGCAAGCCGTCGTCACTGTCCTTTTGGATGGCTGCGCACTCATCAAAGCGGGGGTTAGACGTTTCGGGAATCAGCCGCACATCCGCATAACTTGCCGGGGAGTCTCACGGTGAGCAAGCACACTCGGAAATGTGCTTACCTAGTCATGAGTGTGACCTACTTCAGCCTGAAACATACAGATCAAATATTCATCCTATGCAGGGCTGTTTTTTTATTTTTTATTTTTTGAGGTTTTCTACAACCGCGGTAGTGACACACGCTTGTCATTTTACTCGTGAGACTCACTTGCAGAAAGCCGTAAAGGAGATTTGAGATTTTGTTGCCTCCTTGTAGTTTGTTTGTTTTACCATTGGCAACTTAAGTCACTGGACATCATCGCAGGTCTAAAATAAACCAAGAAATAAACGCTGACAGCACCCAGGTGCGTGCTCATGTTCAACAGCGGAGTGTGCCAGTCATCGTTTTTTTAATATAAGGCTCCAATAAAGCCGCCGTGTATTCTTGCTGTGGTGGCATCAGTGTTAATTTAACGTAAAGAACAGCGGCTTCATTAAAGAGGCCTGCTGAGCCCAGCCTTGCCTCAAATAATGACTTGCAGGGACACGGAAGACACATTTTGCATCCACGTCACCTCAAATTTGTTCAATCTGTCTTTCAAATGAGTCGGCCCTTAGTTGTGGGCGCTTGCACGCCGAACTTTGCTTTCTTCTATGATTAGCATTACGATGTTTGAATTACTACGGAACACCTGGACGCTTGCTTTTCATTCCTTCCGCAACACGTTCAGCCTGTAAGACAGTTGTCCAGAGCCTCTCTTGCCCCACCCAATGTTGATGCTTCACTGTATGTGTCTATTATTAGAAGACAAACCTACTTCAAGGTGAGAAAACAGGCCTTTGTAATGTCTTTGTGCTTTCCTGACGAGCATTCTAGACATATTCCTCGTGCTAAATAAAGCTCGCACTGATCCTCGTGTCGCTTGATCTTCTGCAGTTTGTCCTTGGATCGCGTGGTGATTTTTAGTCGTGCTTGATCACACATGAAAAAAAAATCATAAGACTAATGTAGACAGGAGCGCTGTGGAATGCGTCGATGCTGTGGAATGCGTCGATGCGGTGTTTGCAGGCCCCCATGGAGATGCTCTGGAGCCATCTGACCAACCGATGACACTTCTGGCATCTGTGTTAACGATTCGCACCCTATTGTTGTCGTCCTCCTTAGGACACTTTTGATTTGGTGCTGGCTGGGTTTTTTTTTTGTTTTGTTTTTTTGGGGGGGGGTTGTGGTCAGTCCAAACGCGCTCATCTTCGGGGGTGACCTTGCTCGCCCTAAGGGACGACAGCGCGACTATTTATGGCTGGGTGACTTCTACTCTGTAACTTTGCTGCCAGTTGGTCTGACGTTGTCGTGGTAAATTGCAGTCAAAATGTCCGAAATGTTAGATTCCTTCTCATCGAGTGAACTGGAAAGGTTACCGTCTGTGATTGACAGGTCAAATCTACCAGCACAGATTGCCCACTGGTGCACTGAACAGTGGTGGAAACGTCGGGCCTGAATTTTGCAGCGTGCAGCATGCCTTAATGGTTCAACATCACCTGTCACATCCTAGCATTCTTTTAACATTTCACCTAGCCGCTTGATAATCTAGGCACACAATTGTGCCAACGCCACTTTTTTCCACCCCGCTTCTTTTCACGCTCCCATCACTTAAAACCATACCTGTCACCTGTCGTCTTCCCCCGCACGCCGTCTCTCTTCAGACGGGAGCTTTTAAGCGAAACTTCAGCTCGCCTCTACTAACCACTGAGTCGCTGGGCGTCGTCAGGGAGACTCCTGATGTGCAGGGTGAGTGAGGGAGAAGCGTGTTTGTCCGCTGGAACGGTCGCCGCGGTTGTTTCAGGTATTAGACGTCAAATGCGCGGCATCATTTGTTGTCTCGCAGAGGTGGACCGCGCCACGGTGGACCCCGTGTACGAAGCGCTGCGCTATGGGACGTCGCTGGCTCAGATGAGTCGCTGCAGCTTCGGCAGCATCTCCGAGTCGCCCTGCCACGAGGTAGCCGACTTTCGGTTGGCTTACGCGTAGCAAAAACACGCATCGGTCGAGGACTCGCGCCGAAACTACCACAAATGATTTTTCTTCGGCAGGCTGAGAAGTTCCCAGACAAGCTGGAGAATCAGCCAATCGCCGAAGAGGAAGCCATTCCAGGAAGTGTGTTAAGTTGTTGTTTCAAAACGCTTTGTCCAGACATGCACACACACACAAAATGTAAACATATGTCTTTCTTCTTCCTCATTGTGTGTGTGTGTCCAGTGCTCACCCCTCCCGAAAGCGAGAAGGCAGATTCTGAAGAGCGAGTCAGCCTAAAGGTGTGCATTAGCACTTCCTCTCCTATCTTTCCTCTTCTATTCTTCCTTGTCTTTTTTCCTTTCCTCCTCCTCCTCCTTTTCTCTCTTCTTTTTCTCCAAGTAATGTGTGTGTGATTTTCTTTAGACTCCCAAGCGTGTGGAAGTCCACTCCATGCACACCTACGTAGCTCTCTACAAGTTCCTGCCTCAGGAGAACAACGATTTGGAACTACAGTCAGTCATTTCATTGTCATTGGTATTAGTGTATTTATGTATGTAGTTATCATTATTATTATTTTTTTAAGAATGGTAGCTTGAACTATGGCCTGGCGACCTCCCTCGAGACCTGTCGGGTGGGATACTGGGAAGGAGACAAACATTTCCGTGGCGTGTGGGACAGGAAGAAGTCAACCAATTTATTAGCGAGTCACACATCTTTTTCTGTGGAGCCTCTTCTATCCTGAGCTATGGAAACCGCATTAATTAAAAAATAATAATAATAGTAAGAAGAAGAAATCTGTTTGACTCATCAACTTAATGAATTTAATGTATGGACCACTTAGCCCTAATTGAACCCAAGATCATATTTCCGCTAATGCGAGCTGCTTCTTCGGTTTATCCTTCAGGCCCGGCGATCGTGTCAAAGTCACAGATGACTCCAATGAGGACTGGTGGAAGGTGAGTTTGGAAGCATCGTCGTCATCTTCGTTCTTGCCTCCCATTACCCTTTTGCGAGCAAACGCCATCCTGGCACTTGTGCAATCAGTCAAGCCTCCTCCAGTCCGACGAGGCAGCGAGACTTGAGAGCCTGCTGGTTGCCTTTGAAGTTCAATGGGCGTGGGTGTGAGGATGCCTGGTTAGCGTGGGGGCTAGGGGGAGGTAGTCCGTGTTTCGTAAAACGTATGCAGTCACAAGTTTACTATATGTGCCACTAACCTGAACCCTCTCTCTCCGTTACTCTGAACCAAAATTACCGAAATGAGCCACTTGCTGCTTCACCAAGTCATTCTAAAATGATCACAAGTGTCGTGTCTGGTCATTGCCCTGTAAAAGTATAAGAGTGCCTTTTGTGCTTGATCATCAGGGGAAAAGCCGCGGCAAGGTGGGATATTTCCCTGCCAACTTTGTGCAGCGAGTGCGTCCTGGCGAGCGAGTGTGGAAGGTCATGGCTGGTTTCCACGGCAACCGAGACAAAGGCCCAAGGTGGGATATTTCCCTGCCAACTTTGTGCAGCGAGTGCGTCCTGGCGAGCGAGTGTGGAAGGTCATGGCTGGTTTCCACGGCAACCGAGACAAAGGCCAGATGACAGTGAAAGAGGCCCAGGTGAGCACGCACCCACACACACACACGTATGCACACAGCGAGCGAATACATTAACAACAATGTATGCAAATGGATGCGTGAAAGTGCTGAAGTGACAGAAGATGGCACATTTGCGTTGTGATGCAGCCCAACTCATGAAAGAAAAACTCACCTTTTTCTGTTTTCTGCCCTGTCTCGCTCCCAATCCATCATCCATATTGTCACCCCTCATCCCCGTTGTTAACCCCCTTGCATATCCCATCGTTTCTGTTTTTCCCCCCCATCCACCTTTCCTCTCAATCCGATTCCCATTCTTTGGCCATTTCATTGTCCAAATCACTCGGCCGTACCTATTCTCGCTTTCCTTGCCCATAATCGTGTTCGCCATCCTTCCCAAATCCCGGATTATTCACACCACCCCCACCCCGCCCCGCCCCACATTCTCCTGCCGCAGATCTGCGTGGGCAAGAACGAGGAGACGGACGGCTTCCTGCGGCTGAGCAGTGGCAAGAAGCGAGGCTTAGTGCCGGTGGACATTTTGTTTGAAATATGACGTCGGCTGACAATAATAATACTAGTACTAGTACTTGACTTGTTATAATTAGCAGAAATTGACGGAGGAATCCTCGGGAATGCTTCCCTCCCAACCCCTCTCAAAACGCCCTCGCCGACGGCCATAAAATGAACAGCTGGCGTAGGGAATAACAGCTTGTCTTGTTTTGTTTTCTTCAGGGCTACTTTTGATGTAGCGCAAAATGTGGGAAATGTAGCATCACGGGGGGCAAAAGGGATGTCAGGCTACCTCACCGCTAACTGGGAAAGCTCGATAGGGCTGCAGGGAGCCTACGGGGAGACTTTGTGTCACACATTCAGTCCTGTATTCAATATGTGTGCCTGATAATAATAATTTAAAAAATGTATATTAGTTAGAAAAAGATTGTGACACTTTCCCGTCAAATCTCAGATGCAGTGGAACCTCCAAAGTGGAAAGCGGAGCTTCTCTCCTCGTTTTGAAGGTAGTCATTACCCCTAAGCTACATGCTATTTATGACTTTGAGATAGCTATATATAAACAGTAAACTGCAGTAATATTTATCATTTTTTGCAGAGGACAAACAATACATGCCCATGAGTATTTTTATATTGTATGTCCACACTGTTTGTGATTAAATATCCTTAGCTTGAATGGTTAACACACACAACATGCTATTCATTATGCGATGGCATTTTGCAGTATTTCATAGCATAACAAATGAACACACACATCTTAATTAATCAGTTGTAGGGAAAAAAAATAGCGCGGCTTTATGTCTTATGAGATTTTGCACGCGATGTCGTTTTGATTCCAATTTTTGCTCCAAATTTATTTGCAACCCTCGGGGCATTCCACTTTTTGGAAGTTCCACTTTGCACCGCTCTCTAGTCATTTCCGCGATTGACACTATCCCCGCGCAGATGCACCTCTGGTAGTCTTGTCACGATAATTTCACCACTTCCAATTTGCCTTATCTGCTGTACTCATACTGTATGTATGGTCACATTATTATGTGACCGTTTCTTGTCAAGATGGCATCTCTCGGGAGCGCGACGTTAAAAAAAACAAAAAAAAAACAATAATGAATGGCATCAAAGCAATAAAACATGGCCAGCCTTCTTGTGACACGCTACTCTGAATAGTAAAGCCATGCAGAAAGCGACTAATAAGGGCATTGATATCACAACAATAGCAGAGCATCACTTACAGTTTTCATTGGCATGCCTACTGCATCTTTGGCCAGTTTCTCCGTTGACACGTCTGACAAGTACTCATTCAGATTCCTCTTTGCAGCTTGCAAAGCAAAATGTGGAAAAAGTAAAGCCCAGTGAACACTTTGCACTCTTTATCTATTTACTCGGCTAAGCCAGAACACTATGCACAGCCCATGTCGTCGCTCGCTTTGTTTCGTCTCCGCACACGTACAGTAACACACACTTGGGCTCAGGACCATTTATTGACAGGCCATATCACTTTTCGGCGTTGCCCAATAAAGTGCGATGAACCCTCCGTTTGTTTGTGTGTGTCGTCATTTGTTTGACAAGTGGATTGACAGCCCGTGCAGGAACTGTAAAATTAGTTCACCACTAGTCCAAAATGCTATATGTTGTCGCAACTTCACATTAATTAATCAATATCCAAGAAGTAGGCCTCAGTTTCGAAAAGGTCGGTGACGCCTGGTATAAAATGTTTGGCTAGCCTGCAAGCAAACGGCAGCTCTGCAGTGCGCTATCCATAGTAGTGCCAAAAGAAAATTAACCCGAACAACAATTACAGTAATTAGCCAGCATTGACGAGCTATCGCCACCCGGAAGGACTTTTGACATCCCGGTAAAAATAGCAAAGCTGTGTGATTGACATCCATTTTATTGCGTCACTCGTCATGAGCGAGGCGGTGTTCTTAATGAGGGAAAGCCATCTAATTAACCTACAGAAGATGTTTCGCATCTATCCAACGTTGTTAGTCCGTTTGTTTCTGTGCAGAGGATCCATCACACTTAGGTTCCCCCTCGTCTCCATCCCGAGAAGCCCCCAGTCGCCTGCTCGTAATGAGCGCAAGTAATACCATTAACTCCCAATAAAAGTCATTGGCAGCGGAAAAGCTGCTGGCAGGCCATTGACCACACTGGCACCGTGTGTCAGTGTGCCTGCTGTGGCGCAATTTCTCAAATGATGACCCAATTCTGTTATCAAACTGGAAGAAATGCGATTTTGGAAAAACGCGGGAGTGGCTGAACATCAAGTTGCTCTGGCATCTTGTCACTTTTTCAGCTTTTTTTTGGTCACTGGAGGGGATGCGAAATGGCACCGACAAACAAATGTGTACTGTAATTATTTTCACGTATATTTGAAAACAACAATACATTTCAATATTTTTTGAGTCATTTCTAAAATAAATACAGAAACGGAGGATTCAACTCAAATGGTCTCCATTTTTCATCTTGTTGAGGTACGCTCGAAACGTCAGGCCGGCGTCTCCTTTTGGCGCGTTCACTCTTGTTTCGTTGAAAGCTCGGGCAAACAAAACGTCTATTTTGCAAAGTGCAGAGGAAGATTGAGTGCCAAAAATAGTGCTTGATTACATGTGTTTGTTGAGAAGGGAGGACATTTTTCGATCTGCAGCTTTGGTGGAAAATAAACAACAACCCCAAAAAAATATATATATATTTTTTTTAATGGGGATATAGTATGATTAATAGTCCCCTCGATTCCCAACATTACACAACTCCTCCTGAAAAGGTTTATTCTGGACTATAATTTCCTACACATGCCACAAGAGGGAGCCAGAGAACTACTTGGACCTAAATGTGAAGCTCCTCAACTCACTTCAGATGATACCAAAGCAATACCACCCATGCACAAAAACAGTACCGTGTGAACGCCAAACTGCACATTTGCGTGGGTTCACTGTACTTTACTCGAGCGTGTCCTTAAAGTTGGGGTGAACGCTGCTGCGGGCGGTTCCAGATGGCTGAGTCGGCGCTTATCACAGATGGTTTTTGTTTGTTTGCAGCTGGATGAAGCTCGTGTGGCACATTGTGGCAAGTCAACCCTCTGCTCGCCCACCTCCACACCTGCTTAGAGCAGTTTTCTTCCATCTCACCCTTTTTGATGTTGTCGCCCCTTCCATTCCCCAAAACTGTCACGGGCGAGCAGAGGTGGCAAAAGTATTAAGTATAAGTACGGATCCTTGTGTAAAAGTCGAAGTCAGCGCCTTGAGACCCGTGTAAACCCGGCTTTCGGATTTTGGGCGATGCAAGCCATCGTTGGGACGATTTTTAATTTTAACCTCTTTGGGATGAGCGTTGTGTATGCATCTCGTCTTAATCCTCTGAAATATGACTAACATTATTCTCATGTCCTTCCATATAGGTCTGTATTACACTGCCTCCCGGTGGCCAAGACGCACATCAAAAGGAGCAGCACAATGGCCAGTGAATTGAAGCGAAACCGGTTTGATTCCTTTTCATTATGTCACTACTGTACGAGTTTTTAAACGTTTTTAAGAGGCAGGGTTTCTGCCCTGACCCAGGATTTTATTTAAAAAAAAAAAAACTAGTGTTAGCACAAGCTATGCTTCACCTGTGAACTGACTAGCAAAAAAAAAAGCAGCAAAATCAGCAACTGATAATACAAAAACAAATACCTCAGTATACGTGGGATTGTTTTAGATTATAGGTTAATTTTTTGAAAAGTAAAGAGCAGGAAGCACCGACATGTCTTCAGATGTAGGGAGTAGGAGTAAAACATTGTGAAGTACAGATGCCTGAAAAAGCTACTAAAGTAACTAAAGTATTTGTACTTTGAGGCATGGAGGTTAATGAGGACAGTGCTCCTGGCAAGATGCTTGCTTCTTTATCTTTAATGCTTCCTCTTAATGACTCCAGGGAGCGTGATGGTGATTTATCTCTGTACCAAGCTGCGACTCACAAATGAGTCAAAAGAAAAGAAAAAAAACACAACAACAACAACAAACTTTTGTTGTATCTCCCTAATGTCTGAGGAAACCAGGTTCTCCCATAGTCCCGCTTCTGGTTCCGCTTTGACTCAATGACAAAGTGACAATTAAATCATTTGTATAGTACATTGGTGACACATTTTTAGACATGAACCAACCAGACCTTTTCAAGCTCAGTAAGATAGTAATAGAGTACAACAAAATACAAACATGTATCTGCCAAAGTATGAATTTTTTTTTTTTTTCGTTTTTTATTGGACTTCATGTCAAACATCTTTTCAACTGAGCCCGGTTCGCCTCTTTGCTGACCTTATGTGCTTTCCAAACACACAGAACCGTAAAAGTGCACTTGAAAATCCATTAAGTCGCAAAGAAAGGTATTACTTTTTTTTTCTTGTTCTTTCTTTTCTGTGCTCTCGGCGGCTCGTGTCACGACGCATTTGCCGACGCGTAGATATGAATTTTTCAGCTCCTCCGCCTAAGCGCTTTTCTGGGCCTGGATTTTTAAATATATATATATCGCCACACGCCGACACGGCAATTTGACGCGCTTCTATTGTTTGTTTTCGGACAGGCTGGCTGCATTCAAGTTGGAGAGAATTGGCAAAGCGAATCTAGGCAAAGTCACCTTTGCATGTTCTTCGGGTGACTTCAGGAGTTTTTAGAGATGGGAGGGGGGGATTTGCGTCACCTTCCGAGGCTCGTACTTTAACCAAGTCCTCAACCAAATGGGCCTAAATCAGAATCAGAGAGACCAGATGGCGA